GTTTAAAAAAAATTTTTTTTAATGTGAGCATTTAATACTATGTGACCAGATGGAATTAAAGGTGGCCAATTCACACTCCTATCTTAAAGTTACTCCCAGCAGCACTTTAAAGTTCAAAAGGCAAAGTTGATTGCATATATCTTCCAAAATCTGATTCCGATTCAAAAGAGCAGAGGCTCAGAGTTATAGAGGTTAACCAGTTGCATCGGTGAGCTAGAGGGGATCTAAAGGCCTGGGACTATTGGTTAACAGAAAGACCAACAGATGGAGAGTCAAAACAGGAATCCCCACTCTTAACCCAGTAGTAATGCAAGTCATTTAATCCTCCCTTAGCCCCAACTTGCTCACTGATAAAATGGAAATACTCTTTACTTAGAAAAGCTGTTGAGAAAATAATACTTGTGGAAAGTACTATTAAAAGTTTAGTATAACTCATAAAAAAAAGTAGCACCTTATAACAACTTTACCAGATTGGAGAACAAACATGCACACACATACGTGTATACACACACATACACACACACACACACACCCAACATTAAATCTGGAAGATTTCTCTTCCATCCCCCAAAACCTAAAATGCAGGAAACATAAATTATCAGTTCTTAGGACTTAGAGTTTCACCTTGATGTTAATCTTTTTTACAGTATTCTAGTTAAAAAGGTCATGGGAACTCATTGTTAACCTACCTATACTTCAAGTGCATATGATACTTTGTTGTATAATTATTTTTTTAACATTAAATTTATATGGAAATTTTGTTGACAAAATAAGCATTGACATACAAAGTCATTCTCCTCCTGCCCCTTCATTATGAGGTAGTTTTGACAACTGCTAAGCAAGAGAAGCTCAGTTAAGATTTGGATGAAGAGTGCAAATCCACCTGTTCCTTGCTCACAGATGAATCAACTTTCAGAGCTACACAGAAATAAGAAGTGAGAAATTTTGCTCTGAGATTAGTTGTCCTTGGTTAAAAGTACTTTCCAAATGACCAACAGGAAATAATTCTGTGGTGCCTACTGGTCATTTTAAACTGATTTTTATTTATTAGCTTTTCTGTTTCCTACTCAGTTTGTCCCTACATTTTACAGATGAAATGGCTCTACAAAAAGAAAAATCTCCGTAAAGAGATTCACCGATCAAGATAGAGTAGGACTGTAAAAACTAGTCTCATAACCCCACTAAAAGACAAATTAGAAAAAAAATCTCATTTGTCTATTTGTTCAGCACATTTTTAAACATAAAATGATCCAGAAAAAGGAGCGAGGAGAAGAAACATCCTAAAATTAGGAGGAAATTAATAAAGCCTAAGTGCGACAACCTCAGAGCATGTTTTTATACACACTAGACCTTTTGTCACAGGACTCCCTCAACACAGCCTTTTCTATACTGACCAATAGTCATACCACATCTCTGGGCAGCACAGTAATTTCCAGAAGTTAAAGGATTTCTCAAAAGGTTGGAATTGTTTGCTCAAACCAAACAGGAGAATGTAGAAATAACAGGAAATGTGGAGGGACGTGTCAAGGCTGGTGTAATGCCTGTGCTAAGAGTTCTCTCAACAGGACTTGTAAACAAGTCATAACTACACCGTTAGGGAGAGAATAAAAGACACTTCTTAAGACTTGGTGTGTCACTTCCCTCCTCACCCCAGGTCAGCCAGAGCCTGATATTCTTACTCAGAGGGCCATGAAAATGGAACTGAAGAAGTCAGATACTCAAGCACTTTTACCATCCAGCCAAAACCTTGGAATTCCCCAGGGACAGGCCCTTAAATTGATGTCACATCTGTTTGAGTCACTATTTCTAGTTGTATAATAATCCTTATACCTTAACCAAAATCTTGGCAGCCAAGAAACCCACCACACTGAAGCCAAGGAAGCCATGCGGCAGCCATGTCCCCCTGCCCCCACCCCCCTCAAAAAAAAGGAATGAACTCTTTTGGTACCTGCATGGGTGACTCAGAGTTACAAAACAAAGAAGAGCTATATCAAAGTTAAAGGCAGAGCAGTACCAAGCCTCCCTGGGCTGACTCAGGAGTAGGAGTTCAAAGACGTGGAGAAGTGTTGCAACAGAGAATAAACCTTTTTCCTCTGCTTAGCTGAAGTTTCACTTCATTCAGACATCCACAGACATTCTGGTAGCTGGCATTTCTTGGGGTAAACATAAGGCTTCTCCAAAAGCAAATGACCAAGTAAATTTTAAAGAAAAGTTTGGGGAGAGGGAACAAGAACTGACTCCAAAGCTTTAAAGAGACTTAAACATATCAACCAATGAACAATTCGAAGAGGAAAGTAAGAAAATAATTTCATCTGCAATAGCATCGAAAAGAATAAAATTGGTGATGAATAGGTGAAGTATAGAGGACTTTTAGGGCAGGAAAACTACTCTGTATGACACTGTAATGGGGGATGCATCTCATTATACATTTATCCAAACCCATAGAATGTACAACACCAAGAATGAAACCTAATATAAACTATGGACTTTGGCTGACAGTGACATGTCACTGTAGGTTCATCAATTGTAACAGATGTTCCACTCTGGTAAGGATGTTGATAACAAGGGAGGCAGTGCATAAGTGGGAGCAGGAGGTATATGGGAAATCTCTGTAACTTCCATTTTTTAAAAAAGAATAAAATACTTAGGAAGAAACTTACTCAGGGAGGTAAAAGACTTGTATACCAAAAACATTGGTCAAAGAAATTAAAGACACAAATAAATAGAAAGATAGCCATGTTCATGAATTGGAAGACTAAGTATTATTTAAATATCCATACTAACCAAAGCAATTTACACATTCAATGTAATCTCTACCAAAATCCTAATGGCATTGTCTGCAGAAACATTTAAAAAAAAAAAAAAATCCTAAAATTCATACACAATCTCAGAGAACCCTGAATAGCTAAAACAATCTTGAGAAAGAAAAGCATTTCCTGATTTCAAAACATATTATAAAGCTACAGTAATCAAAAAAGTATATTACTGGCATAAATACAGATATATAGACCAATGGAACAGATAGAGAGCTCAAAAACAGATCCTTTTGTATATAATCAAGTGATCACTGACACAGGTGCCTAGGTGACACAATGGAGAAAGGATAGTCTCTTCAACAAATGGTGTTGGGGAAACTGTATATACACATGCAAGAGGATGACACTGGACCTTTACCTTATACCATATACTAAAATTAACTCAACATGGATTAAAAACCTAAATGTGAAAACTGAAACTATAAAACTCCTAGAAGAAAACATAAGGGAAGTGGACTGGGTAAAAAAAGTGAAGGGACAAAAAGTACAAATTAGTAGCTACAGAACAGCCACGGGGATGTAGAGTACAGCAGAGGGTATATAGTCAATATTATTGTAATGGCTGTGTGTAGTGCCAGATGGGTGCTAGAGTAAACAGGAGGATGACTTCACGGATTGTATAAATGTCTTTTTTAAATTTAAAATTAAAAAAAAATTAAGTATTAAAAAAATTAAAACATAGGGGAAATCTTCATGATATTGGAATGGACAATGATTTCCCGGATATGACAGTAAAAATACAGGCAACAAAAGTAAATATAGACAAATGGGATTACATCAAATTTTAAAACTCCTGTGCAGCCAAGGAAACAATCAACAGATTGAAAAGGCAACCTGTAAAATAGGAGAAAATACTTGCAAACCATTTATCTGATAAGGGATTAACATGTAAAGAACACTTACAACTTGAAAACACAACAAATAACCTGATATTAAAATGAGCAAAGGACTTGAACAGACATTTCTCTAAAGAAAATATACGAAAGTTCAATATGCATATGAGAAGATGCTCAAGGTCACTAATCATCAGAGAAATAAAAATTAAAACCACAATGATTTATCACCTCATACCTGTCAGAATGGCTATCATCAATAAATCAAAGAACAAGTGTTGGTGAGGATGCGGAGAAAAGGGAACCCTCATACACTGTTAGTGGAATTGCAAATTGGTACAACACTATGGAAAACAGTCTGGAGGTTCTTCAAGAAATTAAAAATGGATCTATCTTTTGACCCAGCAATTGCACTTCTGGGTATTTATCCAAAGAAAACCAAAACACTAATTTGTAAAGATCTATGCACCCTTATGTTCATGGCAGCACAACTTACGATAACCAAGATATGAAAGCAACCTAAATGCCTGTCAACAAATGATTGGATAAAGAAGTTATGGTATATGGAATATTACTCAGTCATTAAAAAAATAAAATCCTACCAGTCGCAACATTATAGATGGACCTAGAGGTTATTATACTAAGTGAAATAAGTCAGACAGAGAATGATAAATGCCATATGATTTCACTTATATGCGGAATCTAAGGAACAAGAAGAACAAATCAATCGAAAACAGATTCACAAATATAGAGGACAATCTGGTGACAACCAGAGGGGTGGGAGGTTGTGGGGCTAGGAGAATGGAGTGAAGGATTAAAGAAGTACAAATTAGTAGTTGATAGATGGTCATGGGAATGAGGAGCACGGCATAGGGAATGCAGTCAGCGTTAATGTACTGGCTAAGTGTAGAGCCAGGATGGGCTCTTGTCTAGAAAAGGGAGGGAAATTTTCTTCCACTCCCTGCACTCCTGGCTCCCTGCCCTGGCCCTTCCTGTCCCAGCTGCTCCCACACAGAAAGCAGTGCTAGTTCTCAGGAGGCTACAGTTCCCCAAACTTAGGCTTGGGAAAACAGGAATGTGGGGACCTCGCAGATTGATTCCTCCCTCTTATCCCAGATCTCCCCTTCCCATTACCTCGGGAGGGTGAGGACAGTAATACCCAAACCAAATACCAAAAGATAGAAGAGAGCCTGGGGTTAATTTGTCTTGCCCCTGGGATTTATATTCTAATGGACTGATGGCTAAAAGAAACCCTTATTGAGGGTGCTTTTACTAAAACAGAATACAATGAAAATAGTCAAGTTAATTGCTATGTCTATATTAGTTCAAAAAGAAACTGCTTTCACATGAACAAAGTTATAACATTTTAATAATTTAAATAGTTTAGGAACATACACACACATACATAAAATTCAAACAATTGAATGAACAGTGTATTTAAATGCATCAAATTCTTAAAAATTCCCAAAATGGACTCAAGGCCATGGATATGAAAAAGTAATTTTGAAGTACTACAGACCAGAGTAAAACAGGCAAGGTAATTACTTTGCATTTACCAATAAGATGACAGCCTGCGGATACATTAGACCTTTATGAGAACATTTCTATGAAATATTAAAGCAAAAATTCATTTAAAAAGGAATACAATTAATCTCAGAAAGATAAATTTATAGCTAACAATTTCTTTGGTCCTCCAAGACACACCTGTTTTTACTTTAAAATACCAAACATGAGTTGAAGGCTTAATTCTACCTCTAAATGTCTAAATATTAAACAGGATTATTTTTATGTTAGCTTCAATTTTTAAAGGAACTCAAAAGCAACCACCATTGTACTTTAGAAACTCCAAATATAGAAAAATATACGAAATAGAAGTAGGGAAGAATTTTTTAAAAAATATTGCCCCATCATAAGCCAAACAGCAACAGGGTGGCAGAGATGGGACTGCCAAAGTTAAAGGAAGCATTGTAGTTAATTCTTCTTAAGGTACTGAGATACACTTGAAGAGTACTATGTCAGCCAAATAAAATTCTCCATGGAATCACTAATTGTGTTTGCATTTTTGCAGGAGAGTTGGGTTTTTTGTTCATTTGTTTTAATTGGGCCTATGTTGCCCTGGCAGAGGAAATTTTAAGATAATCATTAATAAGGCAATGGCTTCCTGGACTAAAAGACCTAGACCACTTGAACAGTTACACTGAAGACGAGACCCATGTGGACCACCAGGGAAACCAGTATGGGAGCTTCTGGCATTCTCCAGTAATTGCAGAAAATTACAGTGTATTTTCACAGACTCCAACCATACAGTTGTCATTAGACTTTGGACATAGCTCACAACGCAGTTCACAATTAGTTCGTTCTACATTCTTTCATGTCTGTGGAAGCTATGGTTCTGCGGACCTGAAAGTGATGGATAGTCTCAGAAGTTTCTCGAATTCTTAGAAAAAAATATTCGATAGATTCAAAAAAGTATTGAAGCATCTGCAAGGAACACACAAAATAAGCTCCCAAGAAACTTCAAACGGTAGAATTTTGAGTACTAGTTATTTGCAGTGTCAATGCTAAGCCTTATAAAATAATGGCTTTTAAATAAAGGCAAAGGTATCTACACTTTAGATGGTGTGATATTCTCATCAAGGCACAGAGAGTTAAATATCTAAATCCCTGTATGTTGACATGAGAATAACTCGTAAACAACTCCAGGAACTAATTCCCTATATGTGATTTTAAAAAGAAGGTAGAAATATGCCTTTTTAACTCACAGTAAAATTAAAGACGTAGATATTTCACCACCTTCCCTTGGTGACTAATGTTACAACTAGACAGTTAAAAAAATAAATAAAAAATAAAGTGTCACTGGCAGTTTAATGAACATGATTAAAGTGAAGCCTGTTGGTCTTTGAATTTGCAAAGTAATGCTGCACACTGTACAATAAATTATTTTAAGCACTACAGCATTTTTGTTTGAGGAGTGGTAAAAGCAGTGTCTAGGGCATAGTTTTCTCCCATTCCCAACACTTCTATGCTTTTGAACCAAATTAACATATTATTTGAAGAAAATACATGGGTCGTTTCCCTTCTCAGCACCCTCAGGTTATCTGAGTGGCAGTGATTTTGTGCATTTAACTTAATGCTATTGGCAGTTTGCTTAAATGTTGCCACTAAAAGGTGGCAAGAAGAAAATAGAGGGCCCACCCCTTTATTAAATATATTTATTTGAGTTGCAATAAATAATTATTAAACACAATTAGTGACAAGGAATAAGTTTCACATCTGTTACAATTGAGAATGGAATATACAAACGACTAAGACCAGACAAACGATGCTACTGGAAGCATGATCTGCAAAGCACATGGCGCACACTGAAGTTCAGCTCCTGATGAGAGTGAGAAACTCTTCCCGAGTCTTTGGATCTTCCCGGAACACACCCAGCATTGTGCTGGTCACAGTTTTGCTGTTCATTTTCTGTACCCCTCGCATTACCATACACATGTGTCTACAAAACAAGCCAACAAAGGGGGTTGAAAGAGATAGTTGCTGGTTTGGTTTTTAAAATAAAAAGCAAGCCAAAGACTTAAATCTATTTAATCTGTGTTCACAATGGTCAAGTTTGTCACTTCTTAGACAAATTTTATTTAAAAAAATTTTTTAAGTTTCTTAGTCTTATATAGCTTTTATTCTTATCAATGGTCGAGTGCTTAATGCATCCAAGAGGGCGGCTGGAGGAATGGAATATTCTTCCTAGGTGAAAATAATACGAGGGTCTACAGAGATACAACAACTTCTAGATAAAAAGAAATCCAGAGTGCATACTTGATCCATCCTTAGAACCAAGACAGCACTATGCTAGCTGAGGTGTTCAGAGAAATACTGAAGTATGCTAGTCTCACCAGGCAGAATCCAGAGGGCAGGGATCGCAGTGAGTTTAAGCAACCTGGTGAAGCTGGACGGCATAAATAATAGAGAGTCTCTCAACAGAGAGCCACGCCAGAAGAATAGATGAGAACTTTGCCCACAAAATATGTGCAATTCTCATAATGCATTCTAACTTAAAGAAGTGTCTTCAGTTTCCCTTCGTACCCATTCTTAGCATTCATTTTTAAATGTGTGGCAAAATATTAGAAAAACTCTGCTTAGAACAACAAAGAGCTGAAGAAACCAAGGGAAGACATAAAGCTTTACTTGTGCTAATCACTACCTCTGAGCTTATGACTCACTATTCTTCCACAACCTTACCCAAAAAAAAGATAGAAATGTGTGGCAAAATATTAGAAAAACTCTGCTTAGAACAACAAAGAGCTGAAGAAACCAAGGGAAGACATAAAGCTTTACTTGTGCTAATCACTACCTCTGAGCTTATGACTCACTATTCTTCCACACCCTTACCGATAGATAGATAGATAGATAGATAGATAGATAGATAGATAGATAAAAACAAAACCCATCTCCCATGCCTTGGTTATCATACTAGCAACACAGTAAATGAAAGAAGTAAAAGGGCTTCAGGCTCAGAGATGGAAAATGTGACAGGGTCAATGTGTGGCATCATCCGGTACTAAAAAAAAAGAGCGGTACTGAATTTCATTTTCATGCACCACTATGACATTATTAAAGGCAAATACCAACTCACGTTGCTTCAACCACTACTCCAACTCCAGCAGGTCGCAAGGCTTCTATGATTGCTACAGCAATTTGTTTCGTAAGACGTTCTTGAACTGTGGATGTGACAAGGAGCTGTTTAAGAGTCTGACACAAACACGTGATAGCTTTTGCTGCCTCTATAATATTTGAAATCTTAAAAAGTAGACTTCTCTGAGATTTAAAAGCCAAGATACACCAGATTCTACCAGTTTGCTTTGTCAGCTGTCTGGGCCACCAGGGGCCCCAGTTCAATTCCCTCCCCTGCAGAACAGGTGCTGAGGAGAGCTCAGGAAGCCTTGGCCCCCACCTGCACCACTGGAGAGAAAAATCAGATTAGAATGGCAACTCTCTCTCAGGTGTGCTGTTAAGAACAAAGAATATTGATAACAAGCACCTGCATGAAGCTAGAGCAGAGCAAACGAATGAACAGCTCACAACAGGATTAACAAAGGGGCTACCCTCCAATTATTGAATTGTACTTAGAGCAATGATGAAAACCAACGATTTAGCCTAAATAACGCAGTTCCTGTGCTGAATACACAACTAAACTTTGAATACACACATTCACTGCAGCATTACGTCTATTTGAAAGCTGACAAAATTTCCAAAAGTCTATCAGAGCAGGGATTGGTTGATTAAATCAAGCCAGCACAGCCAGGCAATGGAATGGCGAACAGCTTGCAAAACTAACGAGATAGTTATGTGTATATGGGGAAAAACGGTTAGGATTTGTTAAGTAAAAAAAGAAAAAGTAGGGAAAAACGATAAGTGAAACCTATTATCTATAATATAAGCCCATTTTTAATGTAATAAAAAAATTGATTTTAAATGTTGATATAGTATAAAAATGTGAAGGAATGTATGAATACAACAATGATTTCTGGAGGCTTGAAACAGCAGACTTTTTCTGCTTTATATTCCTATGAGGTTTTAATTTTTAAGTCATATGTATTATACCTACAATAAGAACAAAAAATACCTTTTCCTTTAGAAAAAAAGTTTTTCTGTAAAAATTATAAGTTTTAAAATTTACCTTGTAATCTTCTACTATAGATTTCTACAATCCTAAAAAAAAGAAAGAATTGTTTTAGTTAATCATAAATTATTTGAAGTGAAATTGGTAAGCCTTCCTCATAAGACTAAAAGGACTTTGCTGAAGCAATTGTAGGGTGTGGGCAGGGGATTAAAGCTTATAGGAGGATAGAAAGATACAAAAAATACAGGGAAAGAAGAGAGAAGTCCTAAAGGAGACCACCAACTGTAACACAGAGCGTGCTTCCCTTTGTCCCCAAAGAAAGAGAATTAAGAGTACAGTTCACTTAGGAAAAATACAATTAGAGATGAGTGATTTTAAAGCTCCCAAGTCATCAACTGTGGGCCAAATCTCAAGTGTTCTAATTAATCATATTGTTTAATCAGAGCTTAAAGTTCAAGTTAAAAATAAAAAGACTTATTTGTTAATTAATAGGCAGACCGTAGTCAAGTACCAACTAAATCTATTAGGATAATCAGATTAGAACTGAACAGACTTCTTCAGGCATCTCTTTATAAGATGGGTCTATATAAGCACTCAATATGATTAACTCCCTTCAAGCAAAAGCCATAACACAATCTGTCAAATGATGATTTTCTCCCGTCAGCATCTTTTACTCTAGTTGTGAAATATAAAGATGGCCACGTGAATCACCCATTTTAAAATAACAAATCATGTTAGGGATCTTTCCTTTAAAATTTGGCCTTTTAGTCTACAGCCATGCCATTCTGAGCAAGCCCAATCCCATTTGATCTCGGAAACTAAGCAGGGTTGGGCCTGGTTAGTACTTGGATGGGAGACCACCTAGGAAGATCAGGTGCTGTAGGCGTAAAAAATAAGGGGTTGTAAACTAACAAGGTTTTTGCAATCTGTGAGGCCAACGAAGGGTTGCCTCACCTCCACAAATCCTCCTAAGAATGGGGAAGTAGGAACTGATAGAACAATGCAGTGTTGAAATGCAAATGATTATAGCAGGGTGTGTAGAGTGGGGATAATCTACAGAAATGCAAATGATTATACTAGGACGTGTAGTTTGGGTGGGGATTATTTTAGCCAGCAAATGCGTGCTCTTGTTAAAAAAAAGCAACTTGCAAAAGCAAAATCGCTTTCTACTCCATCATCAGTGGATATTGGGCCTCCCGATCCCAACTTTCTATCTTCTTTCTTTTCTCAATCTCCCACTCAGGATTATTTTCCAGGGCCATGCTGGACGTGGCAGGATTTACCACTTGCTGGACGCGGCACCTACTATATATGATTATGTGGTGAACGGGGTCCCTACGCTCAGAGGGACCCTATTCCTAGTTTTTCCTTTTTTGTTTTCAAGTTAAGAAGTAGGTGAATTTCTGTCTTCTCAATATTGAAGATATTTGTATAGCTTCCCTGGTTAAATATATTTATATTGTTCTTATTCTTGAAGACAATTTGTTGAGAAGTATTTGCTGGAAATAGAATTCTAGTTTGACATTGATATTTATCTATCTTTCAACATTGTCATTGGCAAACCAAAATTGTCAGTCTAATTGCTGTTACCTTATGGGCAATATTTTTTGATGTGGCTGCTTTTATGATATTTGAGTATGTGTGCTCTGCAGTTTTCCATATTGCATCTAGGTGGGGGTTTAATTTCATTTGTTCCGTTTGTGATTTATTAGGCTTCCTGAATCTGAAGACTGATATTTTGCATATATTCTGGAAATATTTTTGGCTATTACCTTCTCTAGTATTGCACCTACCCCATTGCCTCTATCATCTCCTAGAATTTTAATTAAGGGAATATTAGACCTTCTCAGTCTTCCATGTCTCTTACATTCATACTATCCACCCATCTCTGTGTTGCATTCTGTACAGTTTCTTCAGAACTTTCTTTCAATTCACTGATTATTTTTGGGTATGCTAAACTGCTATTCAATGTGAGGGTATTGGACTAGAATGGAGAAAGATATATCTTGTTAATACTATTTTTTTTTTACTTTAAACAATCTATTTTTAAGTAGCAGGCTTCAAAAGCCAGTTCCTGATCCTTAAAATACAGCTATTTATGATGCAAGTATGAGTAATCAACGTTCCCTGCACTTAACTATAATGCAACAGATGCAGTTTCCTAACCAATGGACTATACTCTTTATTGCCCAGTATACCACCTCACATATTTCGGCAAGAAAAAAAACAAAACGCTAAATCTGAATAGTAAAGACATAACCCAATGAATTAGGACAGTTAGCTTTCTTTAAATATTTTTTTGGGAAAGAGGACACCTACTCCATTAGAGGTCTTTTATTTCTTTACACCTATCATGCCATGAATTCTCAGGGAAGGGGTCCCAGCAGCTCAGGCTCTTTTCCATTGGTTCTCACAGAGTGTGCTTCTCTGGGTGGAGCAGGCTGATGCTGTTGAACCCAGGTACCTTTTTCTTTGACTTTCTTCTTTTATCGATCGTTTCCCTTCACACGTTTCAGGAAGCTGTCTTGGCTCTTCTAGTGCTTAATACGCTCAATACGTACATTAATTCTCTTGGAAAAAATCTTGCCCTTGTTTGTTTACAAGAATGCCAACTGCATGCTGGGTAACATTGTAAAGTCTTCCAGTTTTGCCGTGGTAACATTTGTGGGGCATCCCTGTTTGAACAGTTCCCATTCCCTTGATGTCTACAATATCACCTTTCTTGTAGATTCGCATGTATGTGGCCAAAGGAACAACTCCATGTTTTCTAAAAGGCCTAGAGAACATACAGCGAGGACCTCTCTTCCTTCCCTTTGTGTTGGTCATTTTGGCAAATTACTGGTAGATGGTGGTTCCATCTGAAAGGACTATCTTTTTTTTTTTCAGAAGTTATATTTGGTCCTTTTTCCTATCTGCCTGGCTAATTAATTACTTCTCTGTCAACCTTTTGGTACTCTTATTTTCTAGCATACTTGTTGTATATTCTGTATCTGTTAACTTCAGAATTTGCCCTCACTGACCATTTGTTTCTGCTGACTCTGACCCACGGTGGCTTGTTTTCTTTTACTTTTGATGAACTTATGCTCCTTGGAACATCATTCATTGATGGGGATTCTTTGAAGCCTGGATAAAAGTGCATCAGAAAAGTGTGCTTGTTTCTAGGTATTGGAAGACTACCTTCTTGGTGACATTTTAAATTATTGGCTTGGGTTTTTTGGGGACCACATAGGTCAAGTGAATTCTGACCCCAAAGCCCTGTGAATACACACGTATGGACTCTTTTTTCCTGTTCTCCCCAGAACAAAGCTAATAGGTAAGAATCTCCTCCAATTTGGGGTGGAATAGGGAGTACAAAACCCTGACTCTGGCTCCAATGCTGGCTAATTTCTGTGGATCCTCACTGGAATTGCCTTATATTTTAACCAATGTGTGAAAAGTTCATACACATTATATCTTAGTATGCTACACCAAGAGGGAGATCATTACAATCTAGTTTACTTTGCTCCCAGAATCAGTAGTTCTCGATTTTAATCTAAACCATTTTTGTATTCTTGGAGTAAACCTCTCTGGGTTGTAATAAAACAGTACTTATAGCCTGTTCATGTTTTTTAAAATATATTTAGGACTTTGACAACTACAGTCATAAGTGAGTTTAGTCCATACTTTTTTAAATGCTAGTTTTATCAGGCTTCATTATCAGGGCTGGGCAGCTTCATCAAATTAATTATAGAGCTTTTCAGGTTTTCTCATTTCTTGATTTATTTGTAAAGCACAGGAATTCGTGGTTACTTGAAAGTTTGAAAGAATGTCTATTAGATTGACAGGACTATCCCCCTTCCCCTCCCGCCACACTCCCGCCACACTCCCAACATTAATTTGACTTTTTCTAATGGTTACTAGTTTATCCAGGTTTTCTAACTCTTGATTTATTCCTTTCTCTCTCGATCTTTGTTTTTTTAACTTATTCTTAAAGATTTAAAGTTTTTTAAAGCACATTTTAAGTTACCTAGTCTCTCCTTCCAAGATACAAGTATTTATCCTCTCAATCCAACAACCTCCAAGCAGCTTTTTAACCCATTTCCTGTCTGCCCTGAGAATACTTGCTGGCTGCAGCATTTACCCTGAGATAACTCACAGATTACAGTCCTAACCTTACCCCAAAATTTGTCAAACATCTCCCATGCTTCTCAGAGAATTATATCGCGACAGGACTGATGTAGTTAGGACAGCTCATTTCGACAGAAAACATGCCAAATGGTCTGAAAGCAAGGGACTCTAAAGGGGATGACTATAGCCAGATTCTGTGGTAGGTAAACTTATGGCACGGAAATGCTGTTGACAAAAGGAGATGACAGTGTTGTCAACATTCCACAATGATACTGTTACCAAAGTAGACAACAGAAATGGAAAGAAAACTAAGAAGCCATGTGTCATTGTGGATTAGAACAAGAATATGGGAGCAGTGGACTTGGCTGATCAGATGACCACTTCTTATTGAACTGAGCTCAAAAGGCACAAGTTTTGGTATAGGAAATTCTTTCACCACCTTCTAAACATTACAATGCTGAACTCCTACATCCTGTTCAAGAAAGACAATCCTGAGCACACAATCGGCCATGTAAACTTCAGACTGATGTTGATTGAAAGAATGCTAGAAAAACATCCCAAGCCAGGGCAGCAATGTCTTTGAGGTCATCCGTGCTCTGATGATGTCATGCCACTTCGCCTGTCTGGAAGACATTTTCCCAAGAGCATGCCACCAACATCAGGGAAACAGAATCTAACTGGTCGCTGCAAAGTTTGCTGCTCTCACAGCAATGATGGCAAGAACATCCGGAGAGAAACAGAACATGTTTGTGTGGAATGTTATGCTCCGCTTTATGTTGTTCGGTGCTTTTAAACTTACCAGATAAAAAAAAATTATTAAATACTGATCATCATATACATATCTGTTACATTAGGATTAGAGACAAGTTATGTTTAGAAATACCTCCAGGAACAGTTTTTATGTTTTATTTTCACACTGAAACCAGTCAGATTTGCTTTAGCTTCAAAGAGTGTGTTTATGTGAAATTAATGCTGGCAGCAA